GCCAGGCCCAGGGCCGGCGCCGCAGCCAGACGTGCACTGGACTGCGGGATTGGAAGCACCGTGGCATCTGGGCTGCTTGGCCTAGCTCCTACTGCTCCAGCACCTCCCCAGCTCGGGGTCAGGCCTGTCTCTGACTCAGACCCCTCCCACGCCGCACCCCTGCAGCTGTGGCTTTGGGGCAGGGCAGACCTGGGCACAGATGGGGAAGTTTCCAGATAGGCCCCGATCCTGCAATTGAACCCACACGGCAGCTCCCCGAGTCTGACGTCAGGGTGGTACGTGGGGGGCTCATGCTGCAGGCCGGGGACTCAACTGTCGGCATCATGTGGCCTCAGGCACGTCCCCGGAGCCGTGTCCCGCCATAAGTGGGAGCTTTGCTTGTCCAACGCCCTTCAGGGACGAGCCGGGGAGCTCCCACAGAATCATAGAACCATAGAGCTGGAAGAGACCTCAGAAGGTCATCAAGTCCAGCCCCCTGCTCTAGGCAGGACCAATTCCAACTAAATCAACCCGGCCAGGGCTTTGTTAAGCCGAGACTTAAACACCTCTAGGGATGGAGACTCCACTACTTCCCTAGGGAACCCATTCCAGTGCCTCATCACCCTCTTAGGGAAATAGTTTTTTCCTAATATCCAACCTGGACCTCTCCCACCACAACTTGAGACCATTGCTCCTTGTTCTGCCATCTGTCACTACTGAGAACAGCCTTTCTCTATCCTCTTTGGAACCTCCCTTCAGGAAGTTGAAGGCTGCTATCAAATCCCCCCTCACTCTTCTCTTCTGCAGACTAAACAGACCCAAGTCCCTCAGCCTCTCCTCATAAGTCATATGCTCCAGCCCCCTAATCATTTTGGTTGCCCTCCGCTGGACCCTCTCCAATGCGTCCACATCCTTTTTGTAGTGGGGGGCCCAGAACTGGACACAATACTCCAGATGTGGCCTCACAAGAGCCGAATAAAGGGGAATGATGACATCTCTGGATCTGCTGGCAATGCTCCTCTTAATGCAACCTAATATGCCATTAGCCTTCTTGGCTACAAGGGCACACTGTTGATTCATATCCAGCTTCTCATCCACTGTAACCCCCAGGTCCTTTTCTGCATAACTACTACTTAGCTAGTTGGTCCCCAGCTTGTAA